ATTCTGTAATTTTGGTCATACACTATGGAAACACATTCACAATAATGCAGAGCGGATAAAATCACCATAACTGATCATACACTGTGGAAACACATTCACACCAGTGCAGAGCGGGTAAAATAACCATAACTGGTCATACACTGTGGAAACACATTCACACAAGTACAGACTAGGGTCACCTGGTTACCTTCTTGTGGTTTTTAGAAATAACTTCAAATATTCTGAAACACGTAATATCGATAAAACATGCTCATGAAATGATTTTACTTAACTGAATCAAACTTTAAAAACAATTGTTTATAAATCAACTTTATTTTGAAAATCATGCTATCAAATCAACTGTATGAAATAATAAATTTTCGGATTTAATAGAAATTGAATAAATACTTATTGCTGAAGAATTAATTTTCATCCACTCACAAAGATTGGCTTGAAATCATGCTCTTTCCTTCAATCTAAAATTTAAATCAACAACTTAGAACCCTAGAATATTTAACATCATAATACAACAAACATATACTTTCTAACTCTTTAAGAAATGAAATAGTACTTGAAGAAATCAACACTTACTTCGTCTTTTTCATTTTCTTCCTTCTTTCTCTTTTTTTCCTTCCCTTTTTCCTTATTTTTTTTTCTCTCTTTCTCGGCCTTTCTACTCTCTGTCATTTTCTAGTAGGTGTTAGTGTGTGTTTTTGGAAGAAAATAATGGTCAAATGTTGAATATAAATCCCACTTACTCAAAAATTGCAAGAAAAGTCCCTCAACTCCATTTTTATATCACATTTAATTCTAAACTTCCAAAAAAATATAAGTAAATTCCCAACTTTAATTTGTATCCAATTTAACCCTCATATATTGTCAATTGTAAAATAAACCCCAATAAAATATTTAATTTTATTTTAGTCTTTAATTGACTTTGACCTTGACTAGTCAACATTTGAATTTTTGTCTATGAAAATTGAGTTGTAACACGGTATCTCATTTGTTCTCCGCAGAAGTATTGTCATCCGCTAGTGATAATTTAACGTCCCCTGTTTTCTATGGTAAAATCATCAGTGCACAATGAATTAGCTTATTTCCCGCAATAACCTGAAATGTATGAGTCAGGAAGATTGCATAAGTATATATATATATATATATATATATAAAGCGAAAATCAGCTTTTGTAATGCTTTTGTAAAGGGTTCATCACAAATAAAACAGCTTTTGTAGAACTTTTGTAAAGGGCTCGTAGTTGTCAAATACTGAAAATGGGTATGATTTTTGTAATAGGTTGATGTTGCATTTGTAACAGGTGTATTTCCTCTTTCTATTTAGTTAAATCAGCGGCCCAAGTCCTTAGTTATTTGTTATTCCAGCATAATCAATTAAAGCATTTGGTTCTGTGTGTTGGTATGACAATGTTGTTATCTTGATCTAGTCCTCTAATCATATTGGTAGTCACTGTGATTTAATGATTTTCCATTTCATCCAACAGCCTTAATATATGAAGAACATTAGAATTGGGGCTGATCATGGTTCCTAATTGCTGTCAGCCACCATATGAAGTGTATCAAACAATTCCATATAACTAAATGAATCTGAAAGGCAGAAAAAAGGACAAAACTCAAATGCCACAATGCAGCCCAACCAGGTAATAAGCCATCGATACAAGAATATCATCAGAAATTCACCAGCAATAAACCATCAGTACAAACATCAGCATAAATTCACCAGCACAAATCAACTGATAAATTCAATTGAAAATTCATTAAAACATAAGTAATAAGCCTTACAACACCATGTCTGCTAGCAAAAAGGATCATGCCTTTCACAAAAGGATTATGCCTGATAGCAAAAGCACCTTAACCACGGCACATTAATCTAAACTTACAACCTTCAAATATTTCCAGCAACTTTACACAAAAAGAAATATAATACTATAAATATCTTCAATGACAAAATGACTTCACAGCTGTCAAACTAGAATCTAAATCACTAGGTGGCTTGTGAATTTTGCTGAGTTTGCAACTGCACAGGTGGAGGACCATTGTTGTTCAATTGTGCACCCACCGTTAAATCAATTCCAGGAGTTGGCATGAATTGGGAATCAGCTGGTGGTTGAAGCATCATCTGATCGAAACTCTCCTTCACATGCAATCGTCTCAAACTGGATTGTAGGATCTGCATTTCGCCTCACCATAAGAAGTTCCGCTGCATTCTCGTCATACCGAAAATTATCATCATTCACATCATCGTCTAAATCAATCAATTGGCATTCAAGAAGTATCAATTCCTCCTCCTCAGAAGTATTGGCTGCATTGGAAAAAAATACGATTAGATGTTTCCTAATAAATCTTCCAATATATATAAAATACACGAATATATAAGTGCATAAATTTGCTCACATGTCGTTGGACAATGTATATGGAAAAGAGTTGCCCTAAATTTTGGACTTTCTAAACTAGAGTACAGTAAAATGGTTCAGTAACTACAAAATGCAAATATTTTATCTCCATAATAGCAGAAAATTGTAGAATCAATTGATTTGGTACAAAGTTATCCGTTTGTGGTCCCTCATCCGATGCCTCCAATAATGCTTCTTCAACAATTACATTGTCTTCCATTGGCCTTGTGGAGCAGCTTTCAAATTCGAAATCAAGGCAGAGTTGTGGTTCCTTGTAGGGTACAGTGAAGTTATTTAGCCAAGTTCTTAAAGCCAAGTTAAACTATTACAACCAACTACAAAAACGAACTACAACAAACGAGCTATTCTTATTTTGTGAAATGCATTATCACGGAACAAAAAAATAAAATAAAAAATAGAGCATTTTCATTTTTCAACCCCTACTTCATCGATCAAAGCCAAGTGATCATCATATTTGTTGTGGTGGCTCCTGGGCAAAGTACTGGTATCCATTCTATTAGTAAACATTGAAAGTTCTCTTCATATCTCCTACTGTGACTACGATGGCAAAAAATTAGTGTTAATGTTTGCTATATACACATTCATTATGATTATAAAGATTATTTCCTACTTGAAAACATAAAATCTGATGATAAAAAAGTATAATTAGGTTTCAAAAAATCTGATTGTAAACATTAACCTCTACCTGAAAATATACAATCTAATAAACGCCATTTTTCAGTCTTCACCCTTGTTTTTTTATTTTTTAAATGCCCATAAGCAAACAAATCATGTTCCTACAAAATAATACAAAAAATTACATTATTTTGTTCTTTCTTGCTCATCACCAATAGTGCAACTTCCATACAATTATTGTACTTCATATGAGGGTCTTGTGTGTCACCTATGTCCTCCATTATCCAGAGAAGAGAAGAATGACCAAACCTTACTGTAATAAGGCTGATTTTAGGGACAATTTTGAAGAAAAGATTTGGAGTAGGGTCCAGGAGAGAAATTGGAAGAGGGATGTCGTGAAATTTTGAAGGCTGGAGAATGCCCGCGTAATATGATGGATATATTTGGTTTTAAATGGGCTTGACCCGGCTGAAGGCTAACCCGTTAATGACCTTTTTCTCTTGGATTTTTTTTAGGGAAAATTGCAGCCGAGGTACTAAACATTTCGTTTATTAGCAGACTTTGTCCAAACCTTCATTTTGTGCCAGAGAAAGTCCCAAACCTTTCATAAATATGCAGCCGAAGTCCAGATGGATGGAATCCATCCATTTCACCGTTAGTTGACCAATAAAATTGAATTTTGACCAATTTTGACTGAATTAGAAAGGGTAAAATGGTATATTTAGAATTAACATTATTTTTCTATATTATTAACAATTAAATTAAAGTAAAAAAAGAAAATAGTCAATCTTCATCTTCTTCCCTGATTGCACCCCCACCTCATCCCAATCATAATCTGAAGCCGTCGACTACCCAACCCCGGCTGCCCATCTCCGCCCAAATGTGTCGGCCCCCATTAATTCCACAACCTCCACCACCTCGGCTACCCTCTTATTCACTGCTAAATGGAACCAAAATAAGAAATCGAAATCGATGCGAGCACCACTTCGCCTGAAATCAAAACCAGCACCACCTCTGAACTGGGGTACTTATAGAGAATGCAGATCCAAGAGCCCTGGACTATACTCATTTGGCGAAACCTGCTCCTCCCCGTTCCTTCTCTGACTTTCTGGCCGTGAATTTCGTGGTGGCGTCAATGGTTCAGCAAACAAATGGCTTCTTCCACTGTAAGTCCTCTGCGCCTGCACGCTCCTAGACATTCTCGAGTCCTCCATCATGGTATCCAAAATCCTAATTTTAAAAAATTCAAAATAAATTCAAAAATCAAAAATTTTTCCATCTCAGCGTCAGATATTCAGATCTAGCATACATGTGATCAACAAGAAACGCAGAAAAATAGAACTGCACCTGAAGTGGAGGAACTGCATTGTTAGATAACTGCAGATGTTGAAGACCAGCTGATTGGAGCTATCGGTCGTTTGATGATAATTCTAGAAAATTATCGGAGTACTGCCGCTGGTGGTGCACAGTCGATAATGACCCAGATCTCTGCCTTCCAACAGCATTCATTTTCTCTCTCTAAAATTCACGATCACAGTCCGATCCTAATCCGATCCTAACATTTTCTTTCTTTCATTTTTTTTTATTTATGGTTTATCTATTTAACTTATTTAATTAATGGGACAATATGCAAGTTACTATTTTGCCCTTACTAATATGGTCAAAATTTTAGTTAAAGTCAGTTCTTTAATCAACTAACGGTGAAATGGATGGATTCCATCCATCTGGATTTCGGCTGCATATTTATGAAAGGTTTGAGACCTTCGCTGGCACAAAATGAAGGTTTTGACAAAGTCTACTAATAAATGAAAGGTTTGGTATCGCTGCTGCAATTTTCCCTTTTTTTTAACCCCATTTTTTACATCATTGTGTTAAATTTTGTGTCAACAAATGTGGTCAAGTAACATTATTGATTTTTTGTTTGTAAATTTACAAAATTGTCCTCATCTTGAAATTCTTTTTCTTGGGGCCGGCACAAACTGTCAATTCGCGCACAAACCTTGACAAATCCGACCCCTGATTTCTACTAAAAACCCCAGGTCCAAAATATCATATTCCCTCTAAAAGGTTTGAATTTTGATTGGAAATCGAAAGATGGGAATAATAAGGAGTTGCTTTTCATTCATGATGGGCTCAGCAGTAGGAGTGTACGTAGCCCAGAATTACGACGTTCCCAACATCCGGAAGCTGTTCAACACCGGTCTCTTGATTGGCAAACATATTGAAGAAAATTACCGCAAGCCTAAGAAGCGCGACGATGATTAATGGAGGTTTTTTGGCTTTTAGCTTTTAATTTGGGGACCCTACGTTAAATTGAGGAGGGTTTTATTGTTCTCTGTGTTGGGATTTTTATAATAGATTTTAAAAATTTTAGGGGTTTTGAATTGGGAAAAATTAGGAAGAAAGAGCTACTATTTTCTTTACTTGTTATAAGAATTGATTATTGGTGTATTGACTGGAAATTTAAGAAATTTGATGATTGATTATCCGTGTTCCCCAATTTGAAATGGATATTTGCTAAATCTTATTAATGACATTAGAGTGTTTGGAAGATTCTAGTATGTGTAAATACAGTGGTTACCAGGAAGCCTGACAATTCCGTGATGGAATCTAGATGCATTTAGAATCTGTGTTGGATCATTATTCTTAAAATCACTTACTGTGTGATGGTGAAACTTAAAGCTAGTTGGATGCTATTCTGATGTTTGAAATATGTTGGTTGACATGGAAGGTAGCAGTAGATATGACATTACTCCTGAACTCACAACATATGAGAGCTTACTTCATTGTATGGTGACAGTCGAGTTGTGCGACTGATTCGCTGGAAGTTTGAATGAGGGAGCTTGTACTTGTATACTTTTTCATGTGTTGTGATAGTCGAGGTCACCTGTGCTAGTACTGTTCAGGGGCTGCTTGGGTGAAAGTTTGTATGCAGGAGCTTGTACCAGATAACTACTGTCCCGAAAAAAAGTCTCTCATTCTTTTATCCTTCCGATAGGTTAAAGAATTTTCAAGAAAGAAAGAGTAAGAACAAAAAAATTTAGGACACCAGTTAGAGCCTACACAGATTGTTGAGAACAGTTCTAGATCTGGTCCAAGACGAACTATTGTAGGGAGTTTATTACAATCATTGAATTCGAAATATGGTGAAGTAGCTCCCAGGTGGGGAACAACTCGTTATACACGGCCAGCTCCTGTACAATTATTGTGGGAACTAGAGAAGCATTTACAGTAACATTGTAGCATTTTTCTTCATAACAAGCCAGTGTATATGCTTTATGCCAACAGAATCAGTTTAATGCTTATGATCTTTTTATATGCATAATTAGATCTGACTCATTGGATATCAAAGATAGGTTACATATAATCTGGAACCCTTAATGGACCTAATAAGGATAATGTTATTTGTACATAATGGAGCTACACAATAGTTTACATATAGGTGAGGTGTAAAAAAGAGAATGGAAATTTTTTTTTTTTTGAAGAAATTCTGATTCAATCTCATCTCACCACATCATGTGTATGTAAACCATTAAATAAATTATTATGTACATGTAGCATAATTATATTTTCTATACCTATTGAACATCCTTACTCCATACTTCAGCGAATAAGAAACCAAATCTCTAGTTGATTATGATTTATGCATTTGTGCTTCATTTTTGCACTTGTTATTACAATTAGCTCAGTAGATACTGAAAATTGATTTTCTGAAGTTCATCTATCATACTTTATCTACATTGGCTTACTTGACAGCTAATTTTTTATTTGTTATTTCGGTAAATCGGTTCCTGCATATTAGTTATTCAAATGTGTTCTGTCTCATTCCAGAGCATCACATTTAGTAATGATTCTTTCACATTACTGAAACTAATGCTTTAAAGTTTCCACTACATTGGATCCTTCAAATTGGGAATTTGTCGAATTTCAATTGATTTTGTCGTTGATCTTCTCATCTTGCTTTATATGTCATGAATATTTTTATATTTAATTGATGTGGATTTCACCCTTAGGCCTCAACATTATTTTTCGGATTTACAATTCCATGTAACCATGCTTACACAGCTTTTCAAATACTTGAGTTGCCTTATCATAAAGAGTTCAATTGAGCGACGTCAATCCCCTAGCGACAATTCGATGTGTTGTATTTTGCTTTATATGGGAATTAATGTTGGTCTTAGTTAATTGCTTGAGAAAACTTGTTTTGGTAGCATTTCAGCTCCAAAATGCAATTAAGACAATGATCGAAAATAATCTTCCAAGCATGGAGGTATGCAGGCCATGCCCTAGAGGCTGGAAATGTGCAGATTGTTATTCCTCAGATCATCTTCTGGTTACTGTGGAGTGAAAGAAACAGAAGTGAACACGATGGGAAGAAAAGAACAATCTGGTAAAGTTCTAATGTAGGAACAAATTCATGGATTGACCACAAGAATGTTGAAGTTGTAGGGATAATTTCCAACTTCACAACATTAGAAAAGAATTGTAGTGTATTGAACGTCTAGGCATAGCACAAATTAAAAATGAAGTAGGTTTGTATGGTTTTTTAAACGTAAATGAATGTATCTGATATCATCAATTAGTAAAATACATACATATATATGTATAGAGAGAGAGAGAGAGAGAGAGAGAGAGAGAAAGAGAGAGAGAGAGGATCTTAAACATCGATGATGTGTCATGTATAGAAAAATAAACATTAATGATGTGGATTGAGAATTTTTAACTGTTCTCATTTAAATTTTTTAGAAGTTTTATTTAAATGGCTAATAAGAGTTTTTACTTTAAAATTTTGCCCTTATATATATATATATATTGTAATTTAAAATTTTAATTTTTTTTATCTTTTATAATTTTATCAGTTTTCTTTTTTAAAAATATTTTAATTTAAATTTTAAAAATAAATTTTTATTTAAACATTTATTTCCTATGCTTATTGTGTTTTCATTGAACACATTGGAAACGTTAGAAATATATTTTGAATTATATATTATATAAGTTTAACTTAATTTTCGAAAATGCATTTTAAAAAATATTAGACTAGAAAATTTGAATTATTTTACAATATTGAACTAAAATTGAAAGTAACAAATGAACGCGCTCTAATTCTTTAATTGCTATTTTGTCCACAAATCGTTTACTATTCATCAACAGGACGGAAGGAGATCAATTTATTTTTTTTGTAGGATTAGTTTAGAATTCTTTCAAGTTTGATAATGGATTTGATGTTGGGTTGTATATTTTGCTATAATAAAATAATTATTTATAATAAATAAGTTGTGATTTTATTTATTTATTGTATTATTTATTATTGAACATACGAATTAAAGTGTCTATGATCACTTGAAATAATATAAGTTAAGTACTTGTGTTGAAAAGTATAATGTGACACAATTTATATTTTGATCATAAATAATTTGTTCACAACTTATGTATAAGGGTTGGCACCTTATACCGAAAGTTGTAATATTCATAGATTTACTATTTAGGTTTGTGATTTGTCCTTATCACATAAGTAGTTAAAGTTGACACTAATATATCTTGAAGTGTATTGAAGGACCTCGTATCGAACTTAATTCTATAGCATGACTATGCGGAAAATTAAATTTCATTAGACAGCTATATATTTTATCTAAATCTCTAGACAAGATTATGTATATCTTTTTGTGATTTTAATAGTTATTTGATTCATTAATGGGTGAGATTAATTTGATTGGTCAAATATTTTGATGAGTTTGAAACTTGAGAATGAGCGGAGTAGAGAACATAAATTCGTATCGAAAACCATCACCCAGAAAAATTGTTAGAGTGAATACTTAAATATTTTCTATTGAACGATTAAAATCTAAGTTCAGTATTTAGCGACGATTAAACTTCGACATCTATGATTAGTTAACAGGACTATTGAAAAAATTGAAACTTAAGTTAGTGAGAATAATTAGAAGGGTAAAACGGTCATTCATGCTCGTACCTAATTATCGAATTTCGGACGGGGATAAAATTTATATACAGCAGATCAAAGAAAAGTATTACAAATTTATTGGCCTATGTAATCTTATATATTTCAAAAGTTCAATCTTTTGTCTTTAGTGGAAAAAGTAAAGACTAATAATTGGATTGAGTGGTCTAAAGTCGATTAGACATGATTTAATTATTGAAGCTCGGATGATATATGTCCGATCAAGTCCCTATGGTAACTCCATAAAGTATTGGAACTTAATTAGGGTAATTATAGTTGTTTTGGGCTTAATTGTAATTAAAATAAAGTTTTAGACTTAATTGTAATTACTATGAAAGTTATAAAGTTAATTATAATTGTAATTGAAATTCCAAGACTACACATGTAATTAAATTTAAATTAATTAGATTTGAATTTTAGTTAGAACTCTTATTTAGATGTGGAATTATTATTGTATAAAGATTCTAACTCTTTTATCTTTATAAATAGGAATTAGATGGAAC